CCTTTTCGACGCGGGTAATTTTAATTTGATTTAATTTCAATGTAATTTTTTAAAAACTTTAAGAAGTTGGAACAAAAAGTATTATTTTTCAATGGCTTGAAGTCATTCTTTGTTTTAAAATTTAAAAAATAAAAAGAGGATAAAGTATACAGAAAAAGACATTAATTATTAGAAAAAACAATCGCTTTATTCAATATTTTCTCTATTTCTAAATAAACATATTTTGAAAATCGATAAACCGCAGAATTCAATAATAATAATTGATTTTCGTTCGCTCGGTAAAACAATTTTTTTCTCACTCACTCTCACACAAACATTTTTTGTTTCTAATATCCTATCGCAATTTTTTCTTCATTTTGAGCTTCTCGCTTTTAACTAAAATAATAATTTATACAGAGGAAGTGTATTTCGTCAGATTATATAATAGAAAAAAATAATTAATCTTACACATATTTTAAATTATTAACACTTTGGTGTACAATAAAATGAAGAATGTTTTTTTAAAAAAAGAGAAAGCACTTTTAAATAGTAGTTCACTGAATCGTCGATTTTCAGATATACATATATTATAAATTAATCGCAAATTCGCAATGAAGCACTGATGTCTCTCCTTTCGCTTAACTACCTACTTAATTAAGTTACTTACAAGACTAATTACGCTAATGGTATGATACAATCTTTTCGTGCGTAGGTATACACATTCAGACATACAAACTTTAGCTCGAGATTTCGGCGCGGTTTGAGAATTTTTGCACAAACCATTTTCATTTATTTTCGAACTTATAATAAACAATATTAATACAGATTTAAACAGAATAATTCCCCTACAATGTTTTATAAAATTTATAGAATATTACATATTTTTCTTTTTACAATATTTGGACATTTTCCTTTATAATTTTTTTATACAAATATATTACTTTTTTTTATTTTTTAGATACATTTACAAAATTATAAAATATAAATAAATAATTTTTTATTGAACAAAAATTCGGGTCCTACCGATCGATCTCGAGCCAGTCTTAAATTATCTTTGGTCCTCTAGCCGATATGAATTTTTGCCGGACAGTTTGAAATTTTGCAATGAAAACCACTCTGTCGTTGTTTTTAAATTCCCCCCATTTTTATCATTCCCTTGACAATCTTAGATTTTAGATCGCAAACACAATTGCAATACGTGCAAAAAATACAGTGCAAATAACTTAGTATTAATTTTTTTCTTAATCAGGTGCATTTTACTTTTTACATGTGCTGAAAAACGTGAAATTTGTCAATTTTTCAAAAGTGAATTATAATAAATTTGTACAATTTGTTTTTTTGTTTTGTTTTTTATAATAGACAGATTTTTTTGCATCATCATGAACATATTAATCAATCAGTGCTTTTAGTTATTATACAATGAATTTTGTATACTTTCAAATTTATACAAGCAAAAATTGACACATAAGAATAAATTTTTCTTTAAATTTTCGAGTTCTCTTTTTTTAACTTATTAAAATTCGTTTGTAAACAATAAAACAAAATTATTTATAAACAATTGAACTTTTAAATAATGAAATATTTTTGTTTACAAAAATATTAACTTTAATTTTGCACGGCAATCGAACTCGTGTTTTTTCTCTTTAAAATAATAATAATAACTGACGAGTCTTTTCAAATATGGTGACCAGAAATAATAAAATTTTGACCAATTCTAATTACAGTCATAAAAATTAGAAACTCCTCTTTGGTACCAACAAGAAATTGAAGCAATCATCTTAATTGAAATCAGAATTATAAAAAATTAATAAATTTAGAGGGAGGGGAAATATATTCACAAAAAAATACTTTTTCAAATTAACATTTTTTTATAGACATTTGTAAATTTGACAAAATTGTGTAAATTTTTTTGTTTCTTCGCAATTTCGAATTTAAACAATTTTTTTTTTGCTTTTTTCATTTGTTCATTGGAACAATCTTTTCAGCACGGACGGCTTTGGCTTCGACGGACTATAACATGTAATTAATACATGTACTTTATATGTACATTATAGTAATTAAGCACGCAAGGCAGTATTTTTTACTATTCAAGAGACAGACTAAGTTTTTTTTTGTTAAAATTTTTTATCCACATTTTTGAAAATGTAACTCAAAAATATTATTTGTCTTTTACATGATTTTTTAACATTTTCTATACTTTTATTTAATTTTTCGATATGAATATATGTTTTGATGATAAATAAAACAAAATTTGAACATAATTATTTTTATTAAATAATAATTATTATATTTTTTCTCCTTTTTTATTATATTTGTTATTTATATTTTTTCCTTTATAAATGAAAAATTTTTGTAATTAAAGTTGAATCTGAAGAGGAAACAATTTTTTTATCTAAATTCGTGTGGATAAAAAACATTTTTTTCTACTAATTTTGTAAAGAGGACTCTTGAATATAATAAGTTTTGCTTACTTGCGTTGCTGTATACTAGGTCTAGTATAAATATAATAACAAATTGTATTAAATACATTAGTTCAGGTATATGTGTTGACACCGAAAGGCACTCTAGTCTATAATTATAATCGTATATCTATTTGGTGACACGTGCATGAAAAATGTTGATAAAAATCAATTTTTTCTTGTCGATTATATATGTCCAATTTATTCTAAAACAAATATTAACATCCTCAAATACTTCGGTTTCTAAAAATAGATACACTGAAAAACTGTTGATACACGGAGATAAATTTATAGTAGTGGGTAACATAATGATAGTTAGGGTGGCCATCTTTAATGCTACAAATACGGACAGCTATCTAGATAGTAACACAGGTCAACAAAAAAAGACTTACTTTTTTTTATGAGATATCGGAATGGTTTCCGATGTATTTTTGGACGCTGAACACGATCCCGAATTCCAAAATTGCCCATCACGCCCATCTTAAATTAAAGCTTGTAATGTGCACTACAAGACCCATATCCATAAAATAAAAAAAATTAAAAGCTTTTTCAAAAAATGGAGTTGAAGACACCAAAAAGGTGTGTTTTTGGATTGCTTTAATAGACTTCATGCAATTACTTGGATTCGCTTGAAAATTGTTATTCGGGGTTTTTGGAGTCGTTGATTACGAATCCGAAATTAGTTTTCAAAAATTTAAAATGGCGAAACCAAGATGGCAAATGTAAAAATTAAGAATTGCTTGGATTCGCTTGAAAGTTTGTTACTCCAGGGTTTTTGGGGTCGCTGATTACGAATTCGCCATTTTGAATTTTTGAAAACTAATATCGGATTCGTAATCAGTGACCCCAAAACCCCTAAGTAACCATTTTCAATCGAATCCAAGCAATTGCAAGAAGTCTATTAAAGCAATCCAAAAACACACATTTTTTTAGTGTTTTCAACCCCATTTTTTAAAAGAAATCTTAATTTTTTTTTATTTTATGGATATGGGTCTTGTAGTGCACATTACAAGCTTTAATTTAAGACTTTGTGGAAGTCTCTAGCACGTCAGGTTAAAGAGAAAAAAAATGTTGAAAATCCTCAAAAAAGCGTTTTTGGGGTCTTTACCCCCACTTTTCTCAAAATCCTGACGTGATGGATAATTTTGGAATTCGGGATCGTGTTCAGCGTCCAAAAATACATCGGAAACCATTCCGATATCTCATAAAAAAAAGTTTTTTTTTTTTTTTGTTGACCTGTGTATTCGTTATCATCAAGATTATACGGAGTAATATCTTGATAGTATGGAGTAGCATAACTATATTTTTGTAACATCTGTGATGGTCGCCAGTAGCATAATGATAGTATCGTGTAACATCATCTGTTTAACATCAAAATCTGACTATCCATTTCTCTCAATGTAGAACAGTTTCGCTATTGACTGTTGTGCAGCTATTGACTGTTACTTGACGTTTAAACTCACAGCTCAATCAAAATTGGGCGAGTTGCTCTCTTAAACTTGACCACCAATGGCGTTGAGTGAGCGGCTAATTGACAGATAGTTCGGCAGCTCGATTAAAAAGGAGAGTTACTCTCCTAAAAATAAAGTAAGCTGTGCGTTTCTTTTTAACGCAGCCCTTCAGCGCATTGAGCGAACAATTCTACCAACAGTTTTTCAGTGTACATCTTTTTTTTTCTTTTTTAGATTACACTTTATTTTTGTACTGTAAAAAGAAAATAATTTCCAAAATTTACCAATTAAAATTAATTAAAATTAATTAAAATTAATCAAATTTATTGGTTAAATAATTTTTATTTGATTTAAACTAAAATTCAAGAAAATTTTAATTATTACATTTAACATTTTTTTAAATTGAAATCGGAAAAGTATAAAAAATAATTGACTATGCGAAAAGTTGTTATAAAAATTGTTATGATTATTAAAAGTAAAGCTTGAAATAACTTCAGTGAATAGATGTTGTGTTTAGTTTCGACTTATTTGAGTAAATTATTTGATGTAAGATGTTAAAGACAAAAGTCTCTATTCTCATTTAATAAATTCATATATATCTTTAACATCTTACATGAAATAAAAATTGAAATATTTTTCGAATTAAATAGTATATTTCGTAACTAGTGCTAGCAGTTGTCAATTTTTGAATGAGCACTTTTTTTGGAACAAACTGTAGGTGAAGCTGGCGAAACTGGCAACTGCTAGCACTAGTTACGAACGATATTTTTCATAACAAGGTGCAAAAAAGTGCCCTTTTTTGCACCGCGTTATGAAAAATACTTTCATTTATTAGCACAGATTTTTTAATGATAAAATTCTTTTTATATAATTTGGTGATTTTCGCTAGTAATTTTTTTTATTATTTATTAATCAATAATTTTGGTTCTTGTATATTTTTTTTTTAATTTTTTTTCTGTCGTAATCGAATTTATTTGAAATGCAATAATTGGGCAAAAATATTTGTAATAAATAATTAAGACAGACACAACTTTTGTCACGCACGTGTAACTGGTATCTATTCGTACATTTATATTTGCATATTGGACGGTTTAAGATTCTCCGACGGATCATTTTTCAATTACGGACACATTTCCGTTTGTCTAATTCAATATTTTTTTTCTCTTTTTTTTCAATTTTCTCTCTCTTTCTTTTCTTTCTCACTTTTAAATTACTTTATAACAACCCAGCAGACCTTGAAAATTTTGATATATATATTTTGCATTACAGAGATCTTTTGTGAGTGAAGCTTGTAAGTACAGGTTACTTTCAACAGGTGCACTTATAGACATTTCTATACCTTTTGATATATAACAGACGATTGCACATGCAAAGCTACCTTTTAATCAATCAAGAATTCTTCTATAATGCAAAAAAAGGAATTGAAAAATAAAAAAAACTCATTTTACTAAATTAGTCATTAAATTTATTTAATTACAGTCAAATATTTAAAAAAATACATTTTGTTTTTCTAGACAAATATTTTAGTTCAACTAAATATTTCGTTTCGCCAAATAATTGGTTACTTTACCTAAATGTTTGGTTAGTTAAATAAAATATTTATATTAAAACAAACGAAATATTTTTTCTGACCGAATTAAATGAAAAGAAGGGAATAATTATAGAGAATCGCTTTAAGAGCTAAATAAATAACTTGAACATCTACTCAATAAAAAATGAATATTTGACGTGTAGCGTGAAAAGATGAAATCTCGTTTTGAATCATCGAGGCAATCTTGATGTGACGATGAGTTGCTGCAGGTGATCAATCATCAAATGCGTTTTCATATAAAATAATCCATCAGACCTTTATTGCAATCGTGTGTTGAAAATGAATGTTATGCATGTGAAATTTTGATTCGCCGCGTGCTCAACACTCAAACGGTAATTAGCATACATTAATTGTTGTGCTAAATTCGCACACACGCACACTAACACATATTAAGAAAGTTAAAAGAAAAATTATAATGAAGTTATTGCCCGCGATTCATGAACGAGTGTTTTAACAAATGGATTTTTATTTTTTAATTTCCCGTTCTTAAAACTGAATGTAATTAAAATATATGAATTCACTCATGATTATTAAGTAGTCAATCATCAATTGCTTAAAGTTTCAAATTAATTTCGAGATCTTATTTTTAATGAAATCGAATTATAATTCGATATTATATTAATATAAATATTACTATTAATAACTTATATTAATGAATTATTTGACTTATTGAAGTCAATTTAAATTAAAAATTTTTTAATTTCCGTAATTTCTAAGCCTGCTGAGTTTCATCAAATTCAATATTATTAATGCGAGAAATTTTGTTGCGAGTCGAAAAATATATATTTTCTTTTACTGTGTCGCAAATCCCTAAAAAATGTTTTTTTTTTCAAATTTGAAAAAGCTTGAACGTTAAGCTTTTTCTTACATGTATGTATATATTTTTATATATATACATATATAAATGACTTTGAAAATATACACAATTTGAGATATATTATTTTGAAAATATTTTTGACATAAATTTTTTTTTTCATTTCTTTTTAACAATTTGAAATTGCAATTCATGTGATAAGGTGAGGGGGAAGGGGCGATTGTCTAATGGGGGTTGGTACCTGCAGAGATCGATAATCGAGAGCAGGTGCAGCCGGATGTTGACCCTCGCGATGTCTTCGAAGGTCGACCTTTCTTTGGAAAGCCTTGTCACAAAGACCACATTGGAAAGGCTTATATCCCGTGTGCTTTCTCATGTGAGTTATCAAATTGCTACTTTGGGAAAACGCCTTTCCGCACACTACACACTTGTGCGGTTTCTCACCTGAAACAGGAAAAGAAAATTCTAAGACGATTCTTTGAAAACTTTTCATTTTATACTAATTAAATGTTAATAATAATAAATAACACTCCTTCAAACTGAAAGCTTAGTAAAAATGCAACTAAACAATTCACACCTGAAATTCTAATTAGAAATTGCAATTATTGTGTCATAGTGAAAATATCAACAAGCAATAAATGTCATAACAAAGGTAAAAAATGAAATTAAGTCGATTTATCACAATACAAATTGTAATAGGCTTTGGATATGAAATTGTCCATCAAGGTTAGCAAAACCAGCACCTGAATCAACTAATAAATCATATGATGTGTGTGTGGATCGCTCTTCGTGAAAAAAAAATGAAGAAACAACATTTACAATGATTATATGAGTAAATCCATAAAATATATTATTGCGAATTGCACTCTACTTTTGCATATATATATCTAATATGAGAATGTAAAACAATGATTTATACATTCGTAAAAGAAAATTTTGCATTTTTTAAATTATATTATAAATAAATAAAAAAAAGTTGATAAGAGTTTAAAGAATTTTCAAAGAAAGGTGGTGTGCGCCACTTTTATATATTATATATTCACATTTATGAATAATTTTATAATACAAATTTTCAATATTCTCCACGGATGCAGGTGTCAGATAATAAAAAGAAAAACCGTTTTTAATATATTTAAAATAACATCACGTGACAAATTATGATTATTCCACTTGTCATTTGTTCAAGATCAATTATCATAATGACAATCTGTGATAACAGAGCCCCCCCACATTGCAAAGCAGTTCCTAATGTTTAACAAACCTTATCAATTATAATAAAAAAAATTATTTGTCTCTCTTAAAAAAAATTACTCCAAATTTATTTCACTTAAACTTTATCTAAACTGTAAACTTCTTTTATAATAAATGTTTACAATAATATTTATAATAAACGTTTACCGTACAATTTATAATAAATAGGGGAGAGTCTCCAGTTGTGAGACGGGTTTCATTTTTGACCCGTAAATTGTAAACGGGTAAACGAAATTGTAAATAAAATACACCGTTCGAAAGGCAACAGAAATACGCAACTTTTATTAAAAGAAAGTGTAGTGTTTCGATGAACTCAAAAAATTTTACGATACATTTTCCGAGCACATCGCTTTTGTCAAAAAAAAAAAATGTCTCCAGTTGTGAGACACTCATTAAAAATTGCTAAAATTTAATAAGTTTGACATAAAACGTTATGTTTAGTAGAAATAATTAAATATATTAATAATATATATTATTATATACTAAATAATAATATTTATTCGCCAAAATATGACTATCAAATAAACACAATTTAATAGCTTCAACAAGAGCATTAAAATTGATTTCTTCTGAATCAATTGACTTTTTTCCACTTGACATGCCCAAAAATACTAGAAAAAAAATCAAAACAACATTTAAATAGTATGCCTGCAACGTCGTATTTTTTATGCTGCCCAGATGGGTGTTGACACCGTCTCACAACTGGTGATATGCTGTGTCTCACATCCAGAAATTGGCGCTATTTTGAAAAAAGAAAATTAAATTATTTTCAACCGTAGATTGGAACAATGCAATATTGCATCACAAAATATAAGGAAAACACTAAAAGAAAATGCATTACATTTACCTTCTCCAATTAATTAACTTGGAAAAAAAGTACTTTGCTTTTATTGAAAAAACGCTTTTTAGTCGATTATCACACACAGTGTTGGTATTTAACAAAAACAGTTTATATATTCGCTTCGGCGTACACGAAAAAGTTGGCTCATATAAAAAGAAATGTTTTTATATAAACCAATCGGCTTTTAACTATTGCATGTTAACAAAAATTGACTGTCTCACAACTGGAGGTGTCTCACAACTGGAGACTCTCCCCTACTTGTAATAATATTTGCTTTTTTATGTTAAAACCGTTTTCTTAAAATAAATATATTTATTTATCAAAAAATTTCTATTTTGAATAAAAAATTTGAAACACTTTGAGATAATAAATTTTAATAAAAATGTTATTATATCGTTATGTATCGGCTGCGGTATTTTGCGAAAATAATAATTATTAATTATATATATAATAATAATAATAATAATAATAATAAAAATAATAATAATAATAATAATAATAATAATAATAATAATAATAATTGGAGTGACAGGCACAAAAAGGGTTTAAAGAAATGTTTGTTCAGAATGTCAGCGACCCAAGAAAATATCGATTCAACACAACTCATTAACGACCCTTTTGGCCGATGACTTAAATATTTACCACTTGCTTCACTTAAAGAGTCTATTTTAATAATAGACTTACAAGAAGCGATTTTCAGTTTCTTAATTATGTAGGGACATGCTTAATGAACCTATAGTAATAACACACATATTACTTTTCAGTTTTACTAATGAGCAAATCGACGAATCACTATACTGCGTCTTAATCATTTCTTAAAAGCATTCATTTCCGATTTTTATTAATTTTTTAATTTAATTATTCCTTCATAACTACTTCTTCATTTTTATCTACATTTTGTTTTTTTATTTATTATTATTATTAGGTTATTAAAATGTTATTATTAAATTTCGTCATAACCCGAATGTGTGATTTTAAGAAATTAACTAAAATTTTGTAATTGTTAAGTAAATCTTATTTAAAGAACGAGCTGAAATTAAACAAGTCTTGAAACTAAGAACGGTCTTAATTTAAAATAAGGATAGGCAATCTAAATTGACAGTTCTCATTACTGTAGTGAATTTCTAAATAATTCACTGAATTTAATAGTTGTATTCTTTACTTTTCTTACATTTTATTCACATATTATTTTTAATTCTCAAGCAATTGACAGGTTTAGGTTAGTTTTTTACGTTGTTGATAAATACCTAAATACACTATATAGGCCAGTCGGTGAGTGCAAAAAGTGCACATAAGTGCAACCTGAAAAGTCGAAGCAGTTTCTTGTAGTTTGAGGGCCCCAAATAAGAGCCCCATAGTTTGCACCACATTTCCGGTTGCGAAAAATGGTGTAAACAATCGTCAAAGTTCGAAAAACATGCTTTTTCGATGACTGTTGCTTCCGGTTAAATTTTAGGGGAAAAAGTTGTGATAGAAAGTTATAGAGCTTGGAAATAGCTTTCAAATGATTAGTAGCAAGTTAAAAAAGCTTAATTAGTTTAGTTGCAAATGAATTTAAACCATTAAAAATAGCACTTTTTTAATTGTTTAATAACTTTGTTAATGACTATCGAATTTGTTTCTAACTTCCCAGAAATATTCCCCTTGCGAGGCTGATAAAATCCCCAAAAAATCAACTTGAACGGGTAAATAGTTTATGCATAATTCCATTTGTTAACTAAAAACATGTAATTTTTCAACGGAATTACCCCACTTTTGGACCTGCGAATTTCGTTTTTTTTTCTTGGAGAGTACAGTTAAGGAGTCTAACTTTAATTCCATTTAAATGGGTAATTGATTTTTTTTATTTAAGTGCATAGTAATAGACGTTAAAAAAGGGTATGTTTTTTTGACATAAACAAATGGAATAACTCGGCCAATTTGTACTTTATCGATTTCTTGTAAAGGGCATTTGATTTCATTTGTTTTCACAAAACTTTTCCAAAAAAAAATCCGACCTAACTTCAAGGGGTCGGGAGTTAACTTTTTTTTTAAAAAAAAATTCCTAACAAGTTAATTATTAATGTTTTTTATTGAAATTCGCACCACTTACAGTTTGATACATGTATTTTATGTAAAAAAATTAAACATAAGGTTTTGTGCATTTATTTTTAATTTATAACAAGTAAAAGTAAATGTATCCATTTTTCAATCTCTAAACGGCGGAGTGGGGGTACTCGGAGGAGCGTGATTCTCGCCGCCACAACAGAATTCAGCCGTTCAAGTTTGCAAAAATGGTCATAACTCCGTTAATTATTTACCGATTTTATCTTTCTTTTTTTAATTTGATGTATTTTTTATGCTGAATCCAAAAATGGTTTTATATGTATTCAAAATACAATATTTTTAATAATAAAAAAGAAAATTTTTTTTAACAACAAATTTTTAATTATTATTTATCATATTTGACAAAAAATTCTTTTCCTACATATAATTCCATCAAATTTAAAATAATAGATAATATAAATAATATATATTATGACATAAAAAAATTAAAATTATTTACTTATAAGTGTGTAGCATTGTTGTATTGATAGTTGAACAGGCGTGCATATGTGAACCTAATGCTACAAGCTTATATATAATTAATTTGAATTTTTTTATGTCATAATATTATTATTTTAAATTTAATGGAATTATATGTACGAAAAGAATTTTTTGTCAAATATGTTAAATAATAATTAAAAATTTGTTGTTAAAAAAATTTTCTTTTTTATTATTAAAAATATTGTAATTTGAAAACATATAAAATCATTTTTGGATTCAGCGTAAAAAAATACATCAAATTAAAAAAAGAAACATTAAAATCGGTAAATAATTAACGAAGTTATGACCATTTTTGCAAACTTGAACGGCTGAATTCTGTTGTGGCGGCGAGAATCACGCTCCTCCGAGTACCCCCACTCCGCCGTTCAGAGGTTGAAAAATGGATACATTTACTTTTACTTGTTATAAATTAAAAATAAATGCACAAAACCTTATGTTTAATTTTTTTACATAAAATACATGTATCAAACTGTAAGTTGTGCGAATTTGAATAAAAAACATTAATAATTAACTTGTCAGGAATTTTTTTAAAAAAAAAAGTTTACTCCCGACCCCTTGAAGTTAGGTCGGATTTTTTTTTGGAAAAGTTTTGTGAAAACAAATGAAATCAAATGCCCTTTACAAGAAATCGATAAAGTAAAAATTGGCCGAGTTATTCCATTTGTTTATGTCAAAAAAACATTCCCTTTTTTAACGTCTATTACTATGCACTTAAATAAAAAAAATCAATTTCCCATTTAAATGGAATTAAAGTTAGACTCCTTAA